TGTCTGTGCGTATTTATTTGCTTTGTCCTGCGTAAGCAACCTTCCCACGTGAATCCTACGCAAGGCTTTATAAATGAGGCCCCAGGACATAATGGGAAAAAATAAGGTTCATATAACAAATTAGTATGATCAATCTATCATGTTTCTTTTCAGAGGAATAAGACCCGACCCCAGTTCTCTCTACTTAAGTACATCAAAGTATATGAAAGTAGAAAATGCTCATGTTAATTTGCGTATCAGAGCTCCTTTGAAGCGTTTATTCATATTTGCCTTTGCAGCCTATTGCTGTCTCTCCAGTTGGGGAAGCTGGTGGCTAAATGAAGACCACCAAAGCATGCGCTCTGTTTGCGGAGGGATTTCAGCCCCCTGACCACTCGTCCATTGTCATCAAATTTGCACAGAGCTGCAATAATTCAAAGACACTTATCATATGCTTTTGGATTGCTTGTGTCCCCCGTTTCCCCCTGTGGCCAATCGTGTTGACCTTCCTGTCAGCTCCCCTGTGGAATTCTGGGTGGCAGGCGGTTCTGCCTCCCTCCCTCCACCCCCGCTAACAGAATACATACAAATTAGCCTTTCAAATATCAGATCAAGTTATGTAAAGAACAAAAGCAAAGCAGACTTCAAAGGGGGGGGGGGGGGACAGGAGAGATGCTTCAGCTCTCTCAACCCGGTCCTCAGACGCTGTGGTGGATTTGATTATTGTTGTTAACTCCTCTCCCCCCCTCCCCTCAGCTCCCTGAGACCCCCTGCACTAACAAAATGGGTCCAGCCTTTTGGAGCGAATCCCAATCCCAAACCTGGTCTTTGATTTCGGAGGTCTTGGCACTGCTCCTTCTCCCTGCTTTGTTCCTCTTGATGGATCCAGGCGGGCCGGCGAACCGTGACCCCTGCCAGCCCACCCCGTCTGTGTGAGCGCACACACACACACACACACACACACACACACACACACACACACACACACACACACACACACACACACACACACACACACACAGACACACACACACACACACACACACACACACACACACACACACACACACACACACACAGACAATGCCAAGCCACCACAGAACCCAACAGGAAAGGAGGGGAAAATTGAGGGAAAAGAATTGTGGACAAATGAGCTGAAAGCATCTGTGAATCAAAGTCTCATCCCTGACAGAGATTACAGCGCGGCTTGTGTCGTCGCTGCTTCCATTGTGTCTGTTGGTATAAGTTAGCCATGTGTGGTGGGCGAGGAGGAGAGTCTGGCCCTTTCACTGCTCTGAACCACCTGCCACCAGACGGACCGAGTGTGAACTTGAACAAGGAAGAAAAAAAAAACTTCAGTTCCCTTCCGGCAGCCGCCTCATTTTCTCTAACTGTGTTGTCAAAGCCAGCTTCATATCCACTTTGTAGTATCTCGGAGTCGACAAGCTTTTACAGACGCTTGGACCATAATATTTCATGCTTTTTGTTTTGCTGAGGCCAAAAACAAAACAACTGTTCAACTTGTAAAAAAACAATCTTTTTTTTACATATATATTTTTACTGAAGACACATGACACATAGAAAATACATTTTTGGAGCCACAGTTACAGAATTAAAACAACTAGTATCGTCTTAGTCTTAACTTTGTACATCTATTGAAAAGCCATACCTTGCTTTTTTATATTTTTTAATAATAATAATAAAAGGAAAAAAATACAAAGACAGCAACAGGAAATCTAAGGATATTTTTCGCAATTACAAATGGATAGTGCTTTAAAGAATGCGCTCATTATGATGCAGAGTTAATGTCTATCTTTAGAAAACAATGTGAAATGTATCCAATGACATGTGTTCCTATAAATTAACACATGGATCTTATTTGTGTAATTTTGTGTAACATTGCGCCAATGTAATTGCAGAGATCTTCCATTATGCCAAAAAAACTAAACAGTAAGACAATCAGATAGATTTGGCAGTAATCTCATTGGCTGTAAACATTAGTACACTATGTTCCTTACAGAATAAAGTATGGATCTTCTTCACAGACTGAAAACTCTTCCTCAACCTGTATAAACTAAATAAATGCTAAATCCATACAGTGAAGCCAGCTGTGCTAATGGCTTCCAGAAAGCCCCACAGACTGTCCAGCCTGAAGGAAGCGAGGTGAGCGCTGTTCCACTTCCTGCACTTTAATTCGAACCAAATTGAAATGAGCCTCCCTCCTCAGTGTTCTCTTAATTGACCCAATGAATGCGTGGGGGGAAAGCCTCATTAGCACTCCGGTTTACACCAGGCCAACAAAACAAATCCTCAATAGCACAGCAGAGCCGAGCCCACCACATTTTGAAGTTCACTCCACCATTTTGACTTCTAGAGAAGCTTTTGATCCGTGTCAAACTTAAATGATGGGGGAAATAAAGTGGTGAGTATTTGCAGAGTGCATGAATTTAAAGCAACCAGAGCTGAAGAATAGTTAAATAAGAGATTAACTACATTTGGATTTCAGCCAGACTGCCAGAATGACCAAAACTCTGTATTCTACATGTGTGTAATGTGTTTCAGGAAAAAACGAAATGCAATAAATACATTTGTCAAAACGTAATAAAATACATTACGACAGCTCACAGTTGATATTGGGAATTTCGACTTTTTTTACTTAAAAAAACTCAGCGTTGAATGTCAGCCCCTGTACACAAAAAAGGCCATTTTACATTTCTGTTTTCTGTACAAATAAAACAAATTGAATACAACATACCACTTGTAGACTTGTAGAGGTGATTGTATTACCTTGAACAGAACATGGCTAGCTTTTTCCCTAGGTTCATATTTAGCTGTAGGCTAACGATGCTTGGTCTTTTATACAAGAAAAAGAAAAGAATAATCCATATTGTTTCCTCCAATGTATGGTGGGGAGAAATGTCTGCATAACTCCAAGAAATGTGCTGAGTGGACTGAGCTGACCCTTTCGCTTCAGTAGTCGAACCAACTCTGACCGGTGTGTGTTTTGGCGCGGTCACATATGGGATCAGTTTACTAATTATTCCTCTCATTATTTCCACATAAATGAGGCACAATGATGAGTGCACCTCGGTCGCGTTTGGACCTTTTAGTCCAGTTAAGGACCTCGGCCTCTGCCGCATTTTGATTGGTTTGGACAAGCTGCATGCCAGCCAAGTCTGTCACACTGGAAGGTCTCTTTCATTATTTTTAAATGCCACATCTGATTTTAATAACACAAAGGGTGAAAAGAAACTATTCCACTCTGCAAAGTTAACCAGGAATTTGCAATGTCCATCCTATTTGTCTTCATAAAACGTGTTTGAAATTGTTGCTCGCCACGCAGCAAGACATTAGCAGCCCATGATTTAATACATAAATAAATAGATCCTTGAAGAAAAATCCAGCCAGAAAGTTCAAGGGATAGTTTTGGCAAAATATGCTTGTTTGCTTTTTTGACTGACTCATTTTAATCTTAAGTGTAAGGACATGGGTAGCCTAGCTTAGCATTTGAGAATGTATTGCAGGGGCTTCACTGTTCAAAAAGATCCACCACGAACCCCACACTTATTGAAACATATCACATTTGTTTCAAAGCCAAACAGAAATGAACACTAACTATATTCAGCTATTCTATGCATATTCTGTTTGCCAAAAGAAACGTTTGCTTTTTGTATTAGCTTGGTGTGAGCCCTGCACACAGAAGCTCTAAATCTAAATCTATCTAAATCTGCAAAGCCTCCACCAGCACCAGCATTTTCAAGAAGATACGCGTATTGATCACACTGCAGAATAAGTAGTAATATTATACAAAGTGATCTGTTCGTAACAAGGAACTCCAGGCCGAATAAATGATGACAAGTTGCCATAAAAATGTTAATAATAAATAAATAAATAATTCAGAAGACTTTTAGGACTACTTAATAATAGTTGACGTAATTCATTTCATTGTTATGTGAAGTAATCAAAAGCTTTGTGAGGTTCTTTTGAAACCCACAAAGTGTAAATGTATAATGTGTTTGAAAACATTCAGAATCTATTTTTAAAAAGGTGAGAAAATCAATCATTCAGATCGTGATATAGACTGTACATTTTTTGAAGTATGTACGTGCCTTTAAAAAAAATACATAGTCTGGAAATAACTAAATCAAGCTTCCAGTTGTACTTACACATTCTAAAATCAGTGCTTCTATTTAAAAACAGTCCTTTTCTAAGAATGTGTATATCCAATAAAGAACCTAGATGGGGCTACAAGAGGACAACCTCTCATCCAATTGACTGGGATGGCCACTGACTACATCACAGAAGAGATCTTGGTAATGAAATCGTACCAACAAATGTATCTTCTGATTCAACTAAACGTCTAAAGTGATTTGTTTTGTTCAGGTTTAAATTGACCTAAAGGATGACGCATGACTTTTTCTACAGAAAACAGGATGTCAATGTTTTAATTTGTTCAATCCATGTCTTTCACAGCTGAGTCGAAATGACTGATGCCATTCATTCCAGGAATATCCCAGTAAAGAGTGAGGCTTGATAAATAGATGGCTTGACCTGTAGTTATTTTGGCTCCATGGTCAGAACTCAATGCAGCCAGACGCTCGTAGAGCTCTGGTGACATCTAGTGGTGGACTGACTTCATGATGGAAGGGTGTTGCTCTGAAACCTTTCCTGACTAGACCCAGGGAGCAGTACAAAAACATGAGCCGTTTATATGTTGATCAAATAACACAGATGTTTGAAACCAGATTATTTTAAATGTAATTGTTACAAATAGATTTAAAGCAAGTAATTAGCTATAGGACACTAGACAGCCATGTTTTATTTTCAGAGCAATTGGCTTAATTATACATACAATAGATGTCCAGTGTTAAGACACACACCATGTATACATTTATTGTAATACTGTACCAGCCTTTTTAATAGGTTAAAGACAAGTTCTTCACACAGGTTTGGTTCACCCTTATAAACCAGGAATGCAGTCAGACTGCCATCATCATGCAATAAGCCATCCATACGCCACAGTATGAAAAACAATCAGACTGTGCCAGTCCAGTCTTTATTCAGAATCCAAAATGACAACAGGATATCCAAAGTGTGTTAGTCCAGTGGTTAAGTGACAAAACCTGCCGAGCAATTCATGCAAGAACACAGGGCAGAAACAAATGGTTTGTGAGCTTAAGGTGGCTCCAATCATGACACAATTCTTGATAATTGCAGGCTGTGGTTGTTCAATGTTAATCCTTTAAACTGGTCTAGATTAATACCACCTCAGCCTGTATAACATCAGAAACGAGCTCATGAAAATGAAAGAACTGAAAACATACTGCAATCACCCAATAAGAGCTTTATTAAAACACTTTAAAACATGGGAATGCCACCAAAGCGAGGTTTAACACAACTGCAGCAACAGGAGAACAAAAAAAAAGCCAAACAACAAAAATGAGCTTCTCTGAAGCCACTTTTTAAAAATACCCCAGGTGAGTAAATGTAAGCCCAACCATACAAATAACTCTTAAAGGTGTTTCTAATCTAAGACATTTAACCACTTGATGCAAACTTCGTCCTGAGGTGGCTTGACTTCCGGAGCACTTCAGGTTATACGGTCTTCTGCTGGCCCTTCTTTCCAATCAGAGACTTGTGGATGTGAGGAATCACACCTGGGAAACAGAGGACCAGACATTAACAGCTGCACGTTACTCTACCCGTTACAGTTGGTCAGTCATCTAATCAAAGGCTAAAAACCTCATCAGTTTCCTCTGCACATGGACCAAATAAATATCTTCTCATGACTGAGTGCAGCACTAAAAAAGGTTTGTGTTATTTAAAGTTAATGGGCCTGCACCTAGAATAGTCATGATTATAGAAAACGAATCTGCTTGCTGGACTCTTGTCATTCTGGGGTAAATGCATTCATTTTAAGTTACAAAAGTAATAAAATAAAAGTGCAACTCTAAAAATAAGTTTCCATGTATTGGATAGTTTCGGTCACCCTGGCGTCTGGAATGTGGGCATTTCACAGACTCAATTGTAATACATTAATCAACAAATGTAACATTATTGTATGAATGATAGGGCTCTTCTCCTTACCCTCCACCAGCAATAGTGGCCTTGATCAGTGAATCCAGCTCTTCATCTCCTCTAATGGCCAGCTGCAAGTGGCGGGGGGTAATACGCTTCACCTTAAGATCCTTTGATGCATTTCCTGCCAACTCCAGAACCTGAAAGACAGACAGGCTTTAGATGTACACATTAGCCAGGAAAGGCAGCTATCAGACAGATAAACTGTAGTCAGCGTTACCTCAGCCGTGAGGTATTCGAGGATAGCCGCGCTGTACACGGCTGCAGTGGCTCCCACTCTGCCGTGGCTGGTGGTTCTGGACTTCAGGTGTCTGTGGATACGACCCACTGGAAACTGCAGCGATACAATGAGCAGACATTGGTGGAGAGAAACAAAATGGATCAATGGCCAGACGGCGAGAGACGGCCAGCTGATGTCTAATGTTAGCTTGTTAGCGTTAGCACAGACAAATTAATGAATGGATTTCAATAGACAAACCTGCAGTCCTGCTCTTTGGGAGCGCGAAATAGCCTTAGTCTTGGTCTTCCCAGAGTCTTTACCTGCCTTTCCACCAGCCTGGAAAACAAAAAGACAGTTATTGGTCATGCTGCCGCCCCAGCTTGTATTACTGTGAATTAAACCCTTACAAAGTTTACAAATAACCGCAATTTAGCAGTGTGTTACCCTTTATATCGCTCGATAAAAGCAGCCGATGAGGAAGCTAGCATGATTAGCTACTACAACAGCTAACGCTAGCAGCTAATAGTTAGCTGTTCAACAACATGCAAAGGGGCCTTTAACATGTATTGCCAACAACCCAAACGCAAACACAGGTTATCGATATGATATAACACTACGAAATGAAGTTCTTACCATGTTTAAAATTCACAAATAATTTCCTGAAGCTGCAACACAAATCGGGTTTCCTGCTACCGAGCACTGACTATCGGTTTGGACTACAACCCCCACGCCTACAATGGTCCAGTATTTATAGCCAATCTTCATCCGGGTAACTACAGGGAGAGCACTAGCCAATCATTTTTCGTCGTGTGTTTCCTGCCCGGGCAATCAGCAGCCAATGAATGAACATACCTCACTTCTCGGGGGGAGAGCATAGACGGCACATTTCCGTTCCAAGTAATGATGGGTAATGTAGTTGTGACATTTTGACGTTCAATTCATAGACTGTATATATTAAGGTCTATCTAATCCCTTACAGAAATAACAAGTTAATATTTAAACCCTGAAAACAGTATTCTTTCAAAGGTTATTCATTTAGATAAGAAAGAAAAGAGTACATTAAGTTGTTGCGTCATCAGACCAAGAGAAAATGATACATTTATAATGAAAATACCTTCATTCTATGTACTTTAAAAAGTGAAAGCAACAACTTTATCGAATCAGTGACTTGTAAGCAAATATATCCAACTTTCTTTTAAAAAACTACGTATCTTTGTCAAATACGTAATGTGAAAAACTTCAACTTAAATCACCCCTCTCCTAAAATATGCCATTTGATGATCTGTCACATCCCTGTAGTACCTGTCTGTTCACACTTGTGTCTTCCATAAAATAGCCTATTTTTACAGATATGAGCTAGTCATATATTCTAAAAAATAAAGGTCTGAATTTAAACGGCAGGTTTCCAACTGCACTAAACACTTTATTGATATGACTCACAGCATGTTCATTGTGCTGTTGTAGATCCTTCCTCAGGCCACACGGGGGCAGTGGATGCTCATGGTTTGACTTACACTGTTTGTTGGAAAGCTATCCACCCTACTCCTAGCTCTCTTTAGTATAACTCCAAGTTATAGTAGAGATGTATTATGTCACGTTTTGATAGCTTTACAGACGTGCAATAAGACAAATATTTTTATGAAAACTCAACACATATATCCTCATATTTCATTCATTTGTGTGCTTTATTAATATTGTCATTATAATACAAATCTAATTGTGCTTAATTTGCTTTGGGGGTGACAATTGGTCAAAATCTGTGGTATTTATTACCTTTAAGCAAGCCCATTATCTAAGATTATGATTTTTGTGCAAAAGTAAAACAATATATACCCTGATACCTTGCTTATTTGTTCATTTTAAACCTCTATAAAATGAAAATAAATACAACAAAGAAAAAAACTGTCAAAGAAATAGCCTAATATTGATTCTTTAATGCATATGTTGTTTAGTATGACCCACAAATGTATACAAAAAAGTTTCAAAACACTCATTTACACTTTTATTTGACTCAAAATCAGTTTAAGTATTGTTATGGTAGTGAGTGAAGCAGAGTGTTATTATTTTGAGTCCACATTAGGTTATGCATGTGGTTGCTAGTGGTAATGATGTTATTTTGTAGCTAACATTAGCAGCCGATTGAAGAAACCAGAGATATATCAGTCTCCTTTTCATCCTGTTTTACTGCAGCGTTAATGTGTGCAGGCTCCAGTCAGGCAGGGTGTGTGTCAGGACGTGATAAGACAATCTCTCTCTCTGTGTGTGTGTGTGTGTGTGTGTGTGTGTGTGTGTGTGTGTGTGTGTGTGTGTGTGTGTGTCTGGGACAACATGCACAGCTGGTGGTGGGCTGGTCTAAATCACATACCATTCATTCCCAGGCACACTCCCCTCTCAGCAGTCATCACTCACTCTCTCCTCTGACCTCCACGCTCTCTCATTCCTAACGTCCTCTCTTCCTCAGTCACTGTCAATCAGTCCACCGTGTCTCTGTCCCCCAGCTTTACCCCTCTATTCCTGAAAGTTTTGAAGTCTTTATCCCCCCATCGGTCTCAGTTTTCACTCTGAGTTCCTTTACTTGCAGTTTCTTTCTTTTGGTCACTCCCTCAGTCCCTGTTAGGTCAAAGGTGACTAAGAACTTTTTTCAGGAGGTAGGTTATTATTAGTTAAACACCAGTGTCAGTGAAACTGGGAGCAAAACTAACATAGAAACTGAATATATGAAACCCCTGCTGTTTACAATTATTACCAATATTTGTTTAAGATAAGTGTGGAATTGTTCCTCATGACCTCAGTGCTTCACTTGATACATCACAAGATGTTGTTGAATAGGACATTGCGTGTGAAACTAAACAGGAACTTTTCTTAAGTGTAAGTCTAAGTGATGCAAAGGTTCAAACTGGTTCCACGTGGTCCAGTTATAGCTGTTTCTGGTTTGGTGCTAGGGCCTTTATCACTCCCTTACTACTTATCATAACCCAACCATGATCTTTAGCTTGAATCAAATAGTTATGTTTAAATCTAAAAAGTTAAACACATGATGGACTACACTGGATTTGTCAAAGAGCAAGCTTTCAGTGTGACGAGTATGTGTTGTTTTTGCAACTTATTGCACACAAAATATTTTTTTTCTGAAATCTGAAAGAGACCATGTCGGTGTTTCCAGTACAAGCTAGGACACAGTATGTTTTCTTTATTCTTGTGATGATTGGCAATAGAAATATATTAGTGCACTTTGCTAAGTTATAGATAATAGTAGCAGCGTAATTCACTCCAAGCATTTCAATGCCTCTTTGGGCACAAGAGATCGACCTTCAAGGTCCAACACATTTAGTTTACAACTGTTTAATGATACGTCAACATGTTTGAACTATGGACTGAACAGTTTACCTCTCACAAAACGAAAGCCTGTTTGAAACTTCTGATCTGTTGCAGCGTGTGAGGCGTCCTACACATTATCCAGGACACAAACTGGATTTCGTTTAGCCGTGTTGTCGGGGGAAAGGCTTTCCTCACATCTCTGTTTGTGGGCCAATCCTGATATTACATGACATTACATTTCATTTAGCTGACGCTTTCCTCCAAAGCGACTTACAATGACCAATTACAGGGACATTCTCCCTGGAGTAACTAAGGGCTAAGTGCCTTACTCAAGGGCACACTAGTGGTGGTGTTTCAGGCGGGATTTGAACTCACAACCTTCCGATCTTCAGCCCACCTCACTATCCATTAGAGCACATGATACCACTCCATTCCAGTTTCTATAGGCTTGACTTAAGATTCAGTGGATTCACTCTTTGATCATTACGGCTGTAAATGGAACAACAACTGCCTTGTTCAAAATACTTAAAATGATATCTACCTCCTAAAAATCCAGAATCCTTATTCCAGAATTGTTCATTTTAAAAGTTGAACTGCCTCACACATGGAGTCTCTAACTCTATTTGCATTTTGGATTTTTTTAATATTCTTTTTTTTTTATGGAGTGATTAAGTAATAATAGGACGGGTGAAAACTAAAACAGACATATAAAGACAAAAGGGAGATTGAAGCAAACTGCATACATAAAAGAGAGAGAGAGAGAGAGAGAGAGAGAGAGAGAATAACAATAACAATATTATTGGATTGCATATTGGACCATCTTGCTCCAGTAGTTGTAACCCTGCTGTGTTTAATTGCTTTAAATGTAGTTCTTGTTAATAAAAACACATCATGCAGTTTAATGGTTTATACAGTTGAGAGAAGATCAGAGGGTGTGTGTCTGCTCATAAAACCCTCAATGTCTCTACAACTCACTTGGGGAGAAACAAGAGGATGGGGAGGAAGAGAGTGGGAGCCCAGAGGACGAAGGGAGGGACAGAGAGCGTGAGAAACTGTGATGTCACTCCGCCTGCTGACTCTGGAGGAAGCAAAAACACAAGAACAAAGTTTGGTGGGAACAAATTCCAGAACTGGGGCAGAAAGGGTCACTGGTATGCACCGACCTGAAAAACAAGGGGAAGCATTAGCTCTGTAAAAAAGACTTTGATATTCAGTGAACTCATTTATAATCATTTCAAATGTGATTACATTGTTAAAGCATGTGGGTCAATGAGGAGAATGAATATTCACTCTCATTAGCAGGCTCTAGCTGCCTCTTTTGTTGTCATCATGTTGGGTCTCTCAGAGAGGATATTCATATGTGTGTGTGAGTGTGTGTTTCAGCTCTTTCTGACCTCTTGTCTCCTCAGAGGATCCACATGGCTTTTAACGATGTGATTCACCATAGTAGTCTAGCTGCCAGCACTGTGAACCCTGAAATGTTGAGTACACCAAAGTGTTATGATAGAGATGTATAGCAGGGTCTCCAGCACATAGAAACTGCCAGATGCTAACCTGCATATGTTGGGCAACTTGCACAATTAGCATTAGTTGCGTTTATTAGCATTAATGGCATTATGACTATATAGAGTGAAACTAACAGTGGAAAACCCACACAAAGAGATCCTAGTAGAAAAGATGTTATACCCCACAGTGTTAGAGTGCTGGATCTGACGAACTGCGTAGTTAAGCTTTTGACCAGATTAAAGCCTTACCAGGGTTACAGGGAAAAGTCATACATATTTTAGTGGAAATGCTGATACAGCATTCCCACTATATGTTATGCTATGGACAAAATTCTTCTTCTTATTATTCCATCCAATTATTTTGTCCGTCTTCTCCTCCTGCATTCAACATCGCAGAAACTCCGTTCAAACATCAAAACGTTCAGCTCGGTCGGGAATCGATGGCTATTACTTTTATCATTCATAACTTTCATAATTCCAGAGATACATCCCATAATTCATCACATTTTTAACATGGAAGTCAATGGAGAAACTCTTCAGACTTCAACAAATCTTTATGCGACTTCAACTGCTAACTGTTCATTCATACTTTCACTCAGAAACCTCATTCCAACTTTAAAATGTTACACATCTTTCTGACATTATTCGTGTAACACAACTTTTAAATCTGATTCTTACTTTTAGAGATATTAAACATTGTTCAGACCTTGTTAAAGAGGTTTTCTTCAGATTTTAACATTAACTAGAGTGCATGATGTCACAGCTAGAGTGGAGCAAATCTTGAAATTTGCCTTCATATTTTTTTTTAAAACTGCCATAATTCCCAAACCCTACATTCCTGAGAAATAATGTTTCATGACAAACGTAGGAAAACATCTCGTAGCTTGATAAATGACAAATAATTAAGCAAAAATAATTAAACAAAATGCCTCTTGAGGGCATGAAGTGACAAAAACGTTCAACATGTCTCCATTAAAGCCCA